AATTTTTAAATTTTGCGGTTGAGAAACGCAAAATAATAGTTAAATATTGTCAATTTACAGTCGTGTCAATAGAAGCATTCCGAAAAATGTTGACCAATTCATTTCCTAACTTGAAGGAACACCTCTGAACAGTTCCTCAACAATTTGATAAGTTCCTTAAAAAGTTCCTAATTTCCTGTTTCATTGACCAATCAGATTGCTCAAAAATAAAATATAAAATTTGATTGGTCAATGAAACAGGAAGTTAGGGACTTTTTAAGGAGCTTATCAAAATGCAACCACGTACCCAGGATCTATCCTGGGTACGAGCGAGGTTGATCAAATTGTTGAGGAATTGTTCAGAGGTGTTCCTTCAAGTTAGGAAATGAATTGCTCAATATTTTTCGAACGCTTCTATTCGCACGACTGTAAATTTTGATGCTGTTACATATATAACTTGTTATGGAATATTTCGCAGCGCAAGCGCGAGCATTGATTCGCTCTGATGGAAATCAGCCGTAAATATATTTGACTCTTAAAACTGACCTTTGCAAAGAAGGTGTTCTGATCTCTTTGACTGATAATGCATGTGGGTTTACCACCGGCTGCCCAAGATCATTAAATAACTCATCATTATTGTTGATATCCACGCCACGTTTTCTGAGGGGTAATGTGAATACAGGTGGGGATACAAAGTGAAGTTGTAGGACAGGAGTAGATGGTGGAGGCCAAATGCTGTTAGGCCAATAGGACTGGGACAGAGCTAAGCGCAGTTGGTGACCGGCATGGACAGTGTAACCCGCGACGTCCAAGTCAAGTTGAATGTTGTAATGTTCGCCTGCTTTTAGGGCGCTGATTTCATCCGCTGAATGTCCATTGCGATGAGTAAGGTTTAGAATACCTAGAGGATGAAATATACTACTTACTATCTATGACGTTGTATAGATGGTGAGCAAAGTAAAAAAGATTAAAAATGCGTCGGTAGTAGATAAACCAGTGAGTGATACAAATTGCTTTCTATCGCTACGATGTCTAATTTGTATATATAGCATCCCTGGATATTTAACAAAAGGTATCGAAAGAATCCAATCAAGAATTCTCAAAATAATTCATCCAACCCTTTCATACAGCAGGGCGGTAGCAACCGGTGGGGGGGGGGGACTGCAGCCACGCCCCCCCCCCCCCATTCATTTTTCAAAATCATTCAGACATTTATCATTTTATCCATGACAAACTGCAAAGAATGAAGATATTACCCATACTTTCCTGCAACTTATCCAATATATAGTTAATTAAATACGCCTTCGCCCATTTAGTACTACAGAATTGTAAATTTCGACATACTAAAACGCTCTTTTCTGACCATCAGAATTCTGCAAATCTTCCCCAAAGTCCAGGAAATGGCATTTCAGAGACTCTAAATTTGAAAATTTCCTCGGCCCTTCGGCCCTCGCTTTCAGCCCC